ATATTGATGGGAAGATCGGTTTAATTTGGTGGCTATTGATGACCCAGCCAAGCGCTCTCACCCAACCATGGATTCCCTCAAGATACAGTATGGCCGCGACTATCTCGATATCTGCTGATCATCGTTCATACCCCCCGCCATATTACATGGCCTCTCTCAAAATTGAGTCATTGGATACATGGGTCCATTTAAAGTAATCCCAGAGCGAACCGGGATTAATCTTCAAATGGCCAGATCGCCCGCCAGACTCATCCCGCTGCTGCAGCTATCGCCCTATCGACCTAACCTATCGAAATACCCCAATCGATTCATTCATTTTCTGGCTATTTATAGCTAGTTCTAGTTTTCAAAGGCTAGTTTAGCCTTTTTGTTAGCCGAAGAGATGGCAACACTGATTCCAGCGCACCCCTTCTTCATTCCGTTTTTATTTTTATTCAATTCCGTTTTCGGCGTCGCGGCGAAATAACGCGCGTTGTTTATTTGCATTTTAGTTTTAAGTTAGCGCGTTTTTACTCACCGCCGGTGTCGCCCAAATAATGCTAGACACAGCATAGAGCAACGGTGAGCAGGGGAATTCCGATGGTGTCCGTAATATCACCGCATAACATAACTTAACCCATCCGCAACTAGGCAAACCAAAAGAAACCATCTAGTACTTAGACCACAGAACGCCACACAAGCAGAATCGGAAGCGGAGAAATGGGCCGCAGCCGGAGTCCCGCCTCGCCGGCGCACAGGAGACGCGAGAAGGAGCGAACCGAGCGGAAGAAGCGCCGGGAGCGCCGTTCCCGCGAGCGGGAGGCCATCGGAGTGGCCCCCGCCGGAGCATCTGGATCTGGAGGAGGAGCAGGAGGTGGCCCCAGTCGCCGTGAGCGGGATCGCGATAGGAGTCGCAGCCGTGAACGGGAGCGCGACCGCGATCGTGCGCGGGGCCGGCGTTCTAGGTGAATAACAAAGTGTAGTGTACCAAAAGCCAAACACATGATAAGTATAAAACTAGTCACTAAAATCTATAATTAAGATCTTGGTCCAGGGGCGTGTTATAGACGCATTTCAGGGGGTGGTATAGAAATCCATTTAAATTTAATTGTAAAGCCATAGGTAGCCCACAAGTTTGGTAGAATTTTTAAGAGTTCCTTGAGAAATGTTAAGGCATTTCAAAAACTTTCTAGGGGTAAGGTGACCCCTTCAACCCCCCCGGTAAATCCCTTCCAGAACTTGTTTATTTACTCGAAAGTATCGATAGACCCCACCGTTCGATAGGCAGCCAATCGATTGTTATGCAGCTCTGTCGGCTCAACACAAAAAAAATTACCACGTGAAGCGAAATTGTGCGAATTTCATCACGGTGTTTAACTAATTTTCCGGCCATATAAACCAAATCCAGAGGATCCCATCGTTCGGGCTCAGTCAGGCCAGGAGATCCACTAAGAGAGAAACCCACAGAGAAAGAATCAACCGGAACTTACAGAGAAAATGGCGCTGCGCGTGCAATTCGAGAACAACGACGACATCGGCGTCTTTACCAAGCTCACCAACACATACTGCCTGGTGGCCATCGGCGGATCCGAGACCTTCTACAGCGCCTTCGAGGCTGAGCTGGCGGAGACCATCCCCGTGGTGCACGCCAATGTGGGCGGCTGCCGGATCATAGGTCGCCTCACCGTGGGCAACAGGAACGGCCTGCTGGTGCCCAATTCCACCACCGACGAGGAGCTGCAGCACCTGCGCAACAGTCTGCCGGATGCCGTCAAAATCCAGCGCGTAGAGGAGCGCCTGTCGGCGCTGGGCAACGTTATCGCCTGCAATGATTATGTGGCCTTGGTCCACCCGGATCTGGACAAGGAGACTGAGGAGATCATCGGAGATGTACTCAAGGTTGAGGTCTTCAGGCAGACAATTGCCGACAACACACTGGTGGGCTCGTACACCGTGCTGAGCAACCAGGGCGGCATGGTGCACCCCAAGACGAGCATACAGGATCAGGATGAGCTGTCGTCCTTGCTGCAGGTCCCCCTCGTTGCTGGAACAGTGAACCGGGGCAGTGAGGTCCTCGCCGCCGGCATGGTGGTCAACGACTGGCTCTCCTTCGTGGGCATGAACACCACGGCCACAGAGATCTCAGTGATCGAGAGCGTCTTCAAGCTGAACCAGGCTCAGCCGGCCACAGTGACGACCAAGCTGCGAGCAGCCCTCATCGAGGACATGTCCTAAGCGAAATTAACCATCTTTTATACTTGATCTAAGGATTATCTGTTATCTTCTACACAATGTCAACTAAGAAATACAACACACAAAATTAAAAGAAAGCCCGAGCAGCTGCAGCCATCTCTTAGCTATTTTAAAATGGAAACTGTGAGAGTATAAGTCAGAGAGGTAGTTTAAGTATTTGGGTAGGCTATTCCAGTTGATCCTGAGATCTTTCATTAAAGCCCCTTATGATAAATCGCACAAAACCCAGGAGATTTAAATTTAAAGATTTTCAAAGCATGTGCTAAGAACTATGTATGTTTTTTTTTAGTTTCAATAGTATTTGCAATCTTTGAAGCCCAATTCTTGAGCATATTCTTAATTTCATAGTCATAACCAGTTCTTTTTTTTATAAAATATGGGTTCCATAATATTAACTCTTCGTATCCTCCCAAGCCAGTGATTATTAAGTGGGTTTTGAGCTCTCAAGTTATTGCCAAACACCCAGACGTAAATGAGACCTTTAATGAAGCGAACCGACCGGTTGCAAAGTGTCGTATTTCGCTTAATTAAAACTTCAAATTGCACAATCAGATGCACAATGGTCAAGGTCGCCCCAGTTAATTCCCAGGCTCGTTGCAATTCGAATGCAATCAACTGGTCCTGTCAGTCACCAACTGAGGCGTATTGAAATTCACAACTCACGATGCACAATTCATGGTTTGCAGATCGCGGTCAAGGGGCGCCGGAGGAGGAGGAGGCGGAAGCAGCGGCGGCAACAGCAGCTCCGGACCATCGACGTCGCGAAGGACGACGAGGAACAATGCGGCGAGCACAGCTGCCGAACGGCCCAAGATCAACGAGGCCGACCTGGAGGGAAAATCACCGGAAGAGGTCGAGATGCTCAAGACAATGGGATTCTGCACGTTCGACACCACCAAAAACAGGAAGGTCGAGGGCAACGATGTCGGAGAAGTGCATGTAATCCTGAAGCGAAAGTACCGCCAGTACATGAATCGCAAGGGTGGCTTCAACAGGCCGCTCGATTTCGTGGCCTAGCAGTCCTTGGCGGCAGCCATCTCCACATGCTTATCGCCCTTCGCCCAACTAGTTTGCTACGCTTTTTTACTTGTCCGTGCCCAATCCCAATCCGAATGGGCAATGGGCGGCGGACGAAGACCTGCAATTTTATGCAATAGACCGGTTTACAAAATTCTGCCATCTTTTGGCCCCGTCAAAATTTCCACTCATCAAGCAAGTTCTGCAAGAGGACAGCCTCACCACACTCATACCTCAATTAGTTATTTAGTAGTTTAAGCCTGAAGTGCGCCTTTGTTATAGAGTTGGCCCCCCAAGGTTAATTTTACAACAAATATCTGGGGCTGAAAGCAATCCCAACCCTTTTCGGTTGGAGAATCTGCTTTCAGCTGCAGTTGACAACGCACGACGATTGCTTTTTGAATATTTCAAAGTAATTAACAATTGTTTTTGTTGACATCTCGCCATTTTGTACGAATACGAATTAACTGAAGCCAGCCTGAAACCGAAATTCACAACAGCAAAATTTTCAAACTCACATACAGACAATTACTTAAAGTATTTGAAAACACACCACAGCCCAAAACGAACAATCCAGATCCCCATCCAATTCCTTATCCCAACCGCAATCCCAAAAACCACCCAACTAACTTCCTCCATACGCTGCAATAGTACAACTTTTACAACCAAACAATATATATCAAATATATATTTTATATATATAGAAATTAAAATATACACACACACCACAAGTACCTTATCCCCCGTAAACCCCCAGAATGAACCTTACAATAGCCATAGCAATTTGTTGAAAGAATTATTATTTGTTTAACAATCAAAATGTTGTAATTAATCCAGTTAATTCCGATTTAAATCACAAGTGCCAACAGATCAGGCAAACCAACGCTGAAGATGAATCACGTTTTTATAGAGATATTTGTATAATCATTTTGTACTCTTTTTATAAGATAGCAACAATATTTGTATGCCGCAACAAGTAAACTATTTTAAGCAACAGCTAACTATTTTTTTTGCCTTTGGAAGACAATATGTATTTGAAAATTGTAATAATTTCGGCCGAACACCACCCACACACATATTATTTGTAGTTTTACACATAACGAAATTGCAGGGATTTTTGTCTTATTTCATATTCTCTTACAATAAACTGATAATAAATTTGTAAAACCGTATCATAAACGTGGATTCTTATTTATTAAAATTGAAAACGAATAAAATCTAAGAACTGGAAGCAGCATTGGCTTTGTTTGGAAAACTATTGGGTTTAATTGAAAAAGCCATTAAAAATGAAATTGGTTTTTCTTATTTCAATAAAATATGAAACTAAAATGTTGAATTCCAAATACTAATGCATTTTTTGAAATGGGGAATTTTTGGGAATTAATTGGAATTTCAATTCCAATCCGCGAAATAAAAAACACAGTTCTATTGGCTTTTAGTATATTTTGTAATACGAAAATTTAATACAATTTGCAATTTGATTGAAATTCAATTACAAATGAAATGCTTAAGAGAAGATAATTGTGTAGGAAATCGATTTCAACATAAAATACAATGCTCGGCAAAAGAAAATTAAAGTGTACGACTAAAGTTAAATTTAGTTATTGTTACGCTTGCTATCGCTTAATGGATTAATTTTGTTTTACATAATTAAGAAATACATGAGGTGCCATTTTCAGGCTAGGATTAAGTGGGGGAAACAATCAGTTTTGTGCGCGAAGGCAAAGCAGAAGGAATCTGCTCATATGATGCTTGGTAAGAGGTTGAGTTTCTCTCGATTCTGTGTGTTAGTCTTTTTGTTGCCGCTTCTGATCGCTAAGGCTGAAGATCCAGAGGGACCCGACTGCACCTAATCGCCCTTGCGTGGCTTGCGCTTGCGCACCTGTTCCGTCTTCTCGGGCGCTGAATCTCCGACTTGCTTGGGCTCCGGCTTCTCGGCCTTTTCCGGCTCGCTGTCGGTCTCCTTTTCCTGTGCGACCAGATCGCCCGCCTGCTCCTCGCTGTCATCTTCCTCCTCCTCGTCGTCTTCATTCTCCTCCGGCTCCTCGTCGCTCTCCCGCTGCTCATCTTCGTTCTCCTCGGCTTCGCCATCATCCTCGATCTCCTCGGTGGCCAGATCCTCCAGACCTTCGGTCAGATTGTCCTGCGACTCTGAGAAGCTCTGTCGCTGCGATTTCTTGGGTGGATAGACAAAGTCCACAAGGCACACTAGTAGCAGACCCAGGGCGGCGCCCACAAAGATGGTGGCGATGGCGAAGAGGGCGTAGGAGCCCCACGTGGGCAGGCCGTACTCCTCCTGCAGCCGCCCGTTGAAGTCCTTAAAGAGTTTTTGCGTGTGCTATTAGTACATGGACACAACATACAAGACAACAGCACAGAGCAAAGACCAGAGTAATGAGTAATGGGCGGTAATCTTTGGGTCAGCGGGATCACACCGCTGATAAGCTTCCGCTTATGTCTCATGCAATGAACTGAGGTGATAAATTGGGATAGGTGAACGAACCTTCAGAGTGTGGGACAGCTTGAAGAAGTAGGACAGCACGGACATGTGGATGGTATCGGGCTTCTTCCAGGCGGAGAGTGGTTCGATGCTCTGCCATTGCTGCTTCTTCACAAAGTACAGGAGGGCATCGCCATCACGGGCTCCACGGTACTGCCTGAACTCGCCATCCTTAACGCTGGGGGAGATTTACATGGGTTATGGCTTAGATCATATACTTAGTGGTAAAGGTTATTTGTCTCACTGGTAGATGGTGGGTAGGGCGGTAACAAAGAAGCGTCCGCTAAGCGAGGGTGATGTGGTCACATCGATCTTGGCCACTTGCACATGGACATCCTTGGCCACGCGGGCAAATCGCTCCCAGGTGGGAGCAAGATTCTTGCAGGCCGGGCACCATGGAGCAAAGCTATAAATACAGGGAAAAACACACGCTTTAAACAGCTGCCACAGAAATGAGTCATCGTCGCCACAAAGGAATGTCTGGCATTCCAGAGAAAGAAGAAAACCAGCTTGCCGGCTGAAGAAGCCGGCGCACCACGCCCCTTTCTCGTTACGTCAGGCGCCGCGGGGTTCCACATGGGTGGGGGTACTTAAGGCTATCCTTTTGCACTCACAACTCGATCATCCACTCGCCCTGGAGCATCAGGTGCCAGTTGTCCTCGTCCAACTCGATTAACTTGCCACCTGGCTGTAATCCTGACTGCGCAGTCGCCGCCGACTGCGCTGCCGCCGCGGCAGCCAGCAGAAGCAGCGCCGCACATGACGCGGCCACAAGGTGCGATGTGCAATGCATGTGGGTGATGTTTCCTTCGCCGATGAGTGTCCTGAAACCTTTGACGTTCGGCAGCTTCAATTTGCTAAATTAAACTAAAGTTTGCGTCCAATTCAGGTCCAAAAAGTTACAAAAAACTGCGACGCCTGCTGGAAAATTGATGGAAACGAAACGCTGGTTCGATATCCAACAGTGATGACACGCTACTTTTTTTCGGCCAAGAACCCAGTGATGGTATTCGTCAAATTTATATAAATAGCTAGATGAGAAACCAAATTCCATTTTTAAAAGGTATAACCTAATTTAAAATACATTTTGCCACCAAGTAAATATCTTATTAAGGTAAAAATATTTCCTAGTTTTTCCAATTTTTTTTTAAAGATCTTAGAGACCTGTTTTACAGTATTGTCTAATAAATTATGATAAGCTACATGCCATAGCTAAATTTCGATTTTCACTAGCTAGATCTAGCTACTTTAAGGAGCTTCTTATGTACGATCCCTATTGCAATCGATAACTTCCAATCGACGGACAACAACAAAGAAAAATAAAAGTTTATGAAAACACAACAAAATTAAACAATTTAGAAATTCATCTGTCCCAAAACATGGCCCACAACTATCTGCAGCCCGTGCACGACCACTTCGATGATGTGGACAGATTCGATGACGTGGACGATGAGCTATTCCTGCAGAACAAGCGAACGGGAGCACCGAAGGCTCCCCAGCAGAGGAGCACCAATCCCTTCGAGATGGAGGACGATGACGATGAGGAGATAACCTCGTCGCCCTCGGTGGCTGCCCAACGACTGGCTTATGCGGAAAAACGGAGAGCCATCGAGCAGCGAACTCTGGACTCCACCAACAAGAGCTTGGGTAACCATGGGGGTCAATTACCAGCCAATTAAGGGGCGTTATTTATACATGTTCATATTAAATCCCACAGGTCTGCTGTACGAAACCCAGGAGGTGGGCAAGGCCACTGCTGTGGAGCTTGCCAAGCAGCGGGAGCAGCTGGAGAAGACGTCGCATCAGCTGGACGAGATCAACTCCACGCTGCGCTTCAGTCAGCGTCATCTGACTGGCCTGAAGAGTGTCTTTGGCGGCCTGAAAAACTACCTCTCCGGCAACCGGGATCAGCCTCCCACCGCTGCTGGTTCGCCCACGACCAGTCAGTCCTCCCAGGAGGCCAATAGCAACATTGATATGGGCGCCTGTGGAGGAGCTAGTCCCCCAGCTCTGTCACCCGCGGAGCGCTACGACAATCACCCAGTGAGCCAGCTGCGTGGCGATCCCAGCAGCACCTATCAGTCTCAGCGGCAGGTGTCCAATCCTTTCCAGGCTCAGATCGACGCCAATCTGGAGGAGATGTGCAGCAATCTGTCGGTGCTAAAGATGCTGGCCACTGATCTGGGCGGCGAAATTGAGTCGCAGAACGAGCTGCTGGATAATATGAACTACAAAATAGAGGATGTCGACTTGAAGATCCACAAGCAGAACAAGGACATGAGCAAGCTCCTAAAAAAGTGAATAAAGTCGTCGATACCATTATGTTTACTGCATCCTTAGAATAGCCCCCTGAACATACAAATCATAGTCATACCATATCGCAAGATGAGCACCACACAAGGCCATTACGAATGCATTCCTCATTATGTTTCCTAGTTTTTTATTGTTACACACACCAAAAAAATTCTCTCGGAGTGCTTGTAGTTGGAGAGCGATAAGTGTTCAGTTTTGAATAAAAATTCATATAAAACGGAGGAGCAGTCTTGTGGCTAAGGCAATGTTTGAATGTTTGTGGATACACACACAAACTTTTCTGTTATCTTCTCTTCTGTTGCAGCATTTCTCAAGTCATTTTTGAAGGAAATGACTCAACGCTTTTTGTGTAATTTCTAAAAGGTTTTATCCAGCAAAGTTAGGAAACGAGAGCACCTCAAATACCGCAACCAAAGGACACCAATCCATTTGATATGGAGGACGAGTCTGCCCAAGGATTGGCTTCTGCAGAAAAAAAGAGGGCTGTTGAACAGCGAACTCTGGACTCCACCAAAAAGAGCTTGGGTAACCCAATGCAGTCAATTACCTGCCAATTAGGAGCGTTTTTATACTTGTGCCTTTTCAAATTCGCAGGTCTGCTCTACGAAGCCCAGGAAATAGGCAACGCCACTGCTGTGGAGCTGGGAAAGCAGCGGGAGCAGCTGGACAAGGCCACGGCCCAGTTGGACGAGATGAACTCCACGCTGCACATTAACAAGAATCAAATAAATCGCCTAAAGAGCGTATTTGGCTGCGTGAAGAACTTCCTCTCCGGTAACCAAAACAAGACATTGACTACTGCTAATAAGTCCTCAGGTGCCAATAGCAACAGTGAAAATGAAAGACCTATCACCTCGGCTCATCTTCCAACATCTGAGGGCTATGAAAATCACCCAGTAAGTAATCTCCGTGAAGATCCCAGCAGCACATATCATCCCCAGCGGCATGCGGCAAATGCCTTCCAGGTCCAGATCGGCGCCAATCTGGAGGAGATAGATAGCAATCTTTCGGTGCTCAAGATGATAGCCACCAAACTGGGTGGTGAAATTGAGTCGCAGAACGAGCTGCTGGATAATCTAAACCCCAAAATCGAGGATGTCGATTTGCAGGTCCACAAGCAGAACCAGGACTTGACCAAGCTGCTAAAGAAATGAAAGGGGGACTCCATTATAAACAAATTATAGTCATAGCATGCCGCAAGATAAAAGATACCATTGCATACACATATCTGCCACACTATGTTTTATTATTAGAAATTAAGAGTTCTTAAAAATGATGTAAAATTTTTTTGGGTGGGGTTATTTTTGGTACTTACATATGTGCCTTTCTTATCTTCGGTGCTGATGCATCATGTGTACATTTTAAAACAAATTATGACTCAAGTCGCTGCTTCCATATATTCCGAAATTGATGTGATTTGATTTAAAATTAAAATTAATCCTTCTTATTCGTTCTTATCTAAAAATACCCAATAAAAAACACCAGACATGATCATTAGTTTTATTTTTTATGATCTTATTCTTAAATTTGAACTCGATAACTATCAATAAAAAGTTTCCTTTCGATTTCGATTAAGCTGTCGGGCAATCGAAAGCAAGAAGAGCCATCACTAGAAAGCGCTTGTTCTTTCCAGCACTGCTTCCATTCCAAAAGAAAGCGCGATCTCAGCAATTTTCATTCTACGCATAATTAATAAATTAATAAACAGTAAACTTTTTCTGAGAATTATGGATGATTCATATCCCATTGGCCCCCAGCTGCTCAAGGAGCCCGTTTCCTTTAAGTAAGTACTCATATACCATACGACCATTAGCACGTGGCTGAGACCATGATTTTGCGACTCCTCCTGCAGCCAACTCGTCGACAATGGCGTTGAGTTCGAGTTGGACTTGGCGCAGCAGCATAGCGCCAGCAATGAAATGGGTCTGGAGAGCGACAGCGACTACGAGGACGCCGAGGACGTGGACAGCGAGGCGCTGCTTTCCCCGTGGACGCAGTCCTTCGAAGAGCTGCGTGAACTGATGATCAAGATCAACGAGTTTATGCACAAGCGGACCACTCGCGAGGGTCACGTGGACCGGGATGTGGTGCCGGATAAGGCCAGGGTGTCGGTCCGGTACAGTTTCTACTGGGAGGGCATGGGCGCTCCCTTTGACTCTTCCATGCTGCGGGGAACCAAATTCGAATTCGAGACTGGCCAGAAATCAGTGGTCATGGGCCTAGAGGCAGCTGTGCTCACTATGCGTCCCTACGAACAGGCCGAGTTTATCATCTCCTACAAGTTGCTATTCGGGGAACTGGGCTGCCCACCTAGGATCAAGCCCATGGCGGACGCACTCTTGAAGGTGGAGGTTATTGACTATTCGCTTATAGGAGATGCGGAGGCCATTAATGGGATCCCTAAGGAGGACCGCGACAAGTTCTGTGTGGTATATCCGAAGGCGCAGGACATGCACCTGCATGCCAAGGATTGCGTGAAGCGCGGGCGCTATCGCGATGCGGCGTCTACCTTTGAACGGGCTATCAATTCCCTGAACTACTGTCGTCTGGCCAATGACGAGGAGGAGCGCAGGCAAACCGATCTGTTGATTACCCTGACCGTAAGTAGCTGTTACTATTTTACTAAACACTTATTTTCCCTCTTATTTATAAATGTTATTCAAAGTGCTAATCATTATCATTCTGAATCCTTTGCAGCAAAACCTGATGGTCGTTTACAACAAGCTAAACAGGCCGCAGCGCGCCTGCATCATGATGAAGTCTCTGCGGCGCCTGACCGAAAACAATCCATCCTGCAAGGCGCTCTTCCTGGAGGGACGTGCCCTGGCTGCTTTGGGGGAGTACGACCGGGCCCGAGACGCCTTCGTGCAGGCGCAGGCAAAGCAGCCGGAGAACAAGGAGATCAGCGATGAAATCATACGAATGAATAAGAGAATCAGCCAGTACAAGGAGGCTAGTCGTGAACTTTGGTCGCGGGCTTTCGCGAACAAAGAAAAAGGTGCTCCAAAAAAGGGAGCTCATCAGAAAAAGGAAGTCGATGAAGATGTTTTCAAGAATGAACTCGAAGAAGTGGTCCAGGATTTCGAGACCTCTGACGAGCAAGAGATACACTTTTCCCGTAGAACTTTTACGGACGCCCAGTTTGAAACGGTTTGTAACGTGGCCAAAGATTTCAATATGAAGCTAACTTTGTCTCACCTTCACGAGGATGTCTTGACTTTGTCTAAGGGGGAAGTCAAGTTGGACTAAATTTACTAAACAAACCAGTATTACAAATTTTATTTTATAACGCACTTGATAAAAAGCAAAACGTTCCAAATATGAAGGTAATCTTGACCAAAGAACTGTACCTTATGTTAATACATGCAACATGGTTAAAATTACTAAACAAACAAGTATTACAAATTTCATTTCATAACGCACTTGAAAAAAAATCAAATCGTTCCAAATATGAAGGTAATTTCGACCAAAGAACTGTACCTTATGTTAATACATTCAACATGGTTACCTGCAACTACTTAACATTTTCTTTAAAAAAAAAAAATCTCATAGATATACTTTAATTGAAATACCAAAGCTCTTAATACGGAAAGAGAATATGTTATTCCGTAAATATTATTTGTTATTACCCACAATAAAAACAACTTTGTGCGGCAAATAAGAAAGTGTTTAGTTTAATTTACACTTTTCATATCCAATTCCTTGGCCAATTGACGATGCAGACACTCCAAACATGCACATCCTTTGAAGTGTTTAAAATTAGGCTCCAGGATACGAACCTCCTGCATCTCAATGCTGTTTGAGTCGTAGCTGGTGAACGTTTCCGACTTCACGAACTTGCAGCACACGCATATACAAATTAAAATAGCTGAGGGTATTACAACTTTAGAATGGATTGTTGAGAAGTTTATCAAATTCTTACATAGGGAGGCTATCCAAATGATGAGCATAAGGAACGGGCAAAAAAAACTGCTGACCATAGGCCACTGTCCCTTGGTGCTTGTATTTTCAGTGAAAATTCCCAGAACATTTTGCATAAAACTTTCCGAATTGGGTTTAGCATCCACCATTGCTCTAACGAAGACTATTTTACTTATAACCGAACTTAACTTGAGTGAACTAGTGTTGATGTTCAACAAACGATTTTAGTTAGACTACTGTCGGTGCTTAAAAGCCAATGTCTAATTCAAGGGTCTACACTTTTCAATCCGCAATAGATAAATAAACAGTTGCGTGTGAGTTGAGGAAAATGTGTTTTTACATCCACGTATCGACCACGAAGTACTAAAGCAAAGGTTTAATAACCACGAACCAACTTCCTCGAGATTAAAGACGCCCACGTCTTTCTTGGCCCATATATCTTTATTAGTTGACTCTAGACTTTTGTTAATATTTATTTATTAATTAACACAGATTCCATTTCTAGCCACCGTGCACCATTTGTAGCCTTCGTATCCTTTTCCACTTGTTTTATAAAGGAGACTGGCCAGAAAAATCGAAATATAACTTTTGAATAGCATTTCGGAGATGATGTTCTATTCGGGGTAAAAACTTAAAATGTTTGGGGCATGTTTTTGCTTTTTCAAGTAACACACACCGTTGCAAATTCCTTTTTACTGGTTATCATTTGTAATCAATTGTCACAGTGACGAATCGGCTTCTGCTTTAATAGTCGTTACAAATTAAAAAACAAAATTATTAAAGCAATGAAAAGTACAAAGTGACAGCACATAAATTGGATTAGATTCTAGAATGTAGAAAGACAGTCCATCAACTATATTAATAACATAATATTAGAATTTATAATAGTATAAATCAATCATCAAAAAAAAAAAAATAAAAAAAAATTAGGTACAGTAAGGGGATTGAACTCGCATCGTAGTGTTTTGTATAGGAATGACTTACGCCCTACACTTCTTTAACAGGCGTTAAAATATGAAAACCAAAATTTTAATCATAATTATTATTACTTTATTAGATCAACTAAATTATTAAAAAAAAAAATAAAAAAATAAGGTACAGTCGGGGATTTGAACTCGCATCGGAATATTTTGTAGTCGCACGCCTTACGCCCTGCACCACAATGACATCGCGCGGCCGCTAAATATATCTCAAATTGAACATGGTGGAGAATCCGGTTTCATAGAGACATCTATATCTCATTTTAAGAACTAGCGGGGATTTTAGAACCATACAAAGGGTTTTGTTTGAAATTGAATTTGGACAAGACCTCGACGAGTGCGCCCGTGGCGTTCTGCGTTAAGAGTCGCGGTACTTGAAGAAACATATACCCCTCAATTTGGCCGGATTAATTTCATATAGTTAATACCGTAAATGCATGAGGAGAAGGTAGAGTGAGGAATGGTGGGGATTACGCCTTCGGTGCTCGAATCGGTTTTAAATCCGCGAGATAACTATCATCCTTGTTTCCCTCCACATTATTTTTATTAATATATTTTTTTTTTGTTAAAACCCATAAATATTTATTCATGAATATTGTTTTTCCTTGCTTAATGTTACATTTTAACATAATTATTTATGATTACTCGTTTAGTTATTGGCATCTGTGGAATATGTGTAATATTTGCTTACACTTTTAATTTGATATAACATATATTTTTGATTACCAGAACAGCAAAAATGTTATACATCTATTTTAATAAGATATATTGTATATTTAGCTCCCAGTTTCTGCTTTTCAATTTTGTTTGAAGAAATGGGCTGAGACTCTTGATGCAGCCATTCAATTCCGTCTGAAAATAACTTTTCTGATTTCATAATCCTGCAAACAACTTTTGATTCTTCAAATTGAAAGAAAAATGTATAACCAAAGAAGTTCACTGAAGGTGTTAATTGCAGGAAAACTATTAATGTTTTCCGTTTTGACTGAAAGCAATTCTTAAATTCTGACTTCTGTTATTTTGTCTTAAATATTAATTCGCTTAAAATGCATACATTGAATAGATTTCCTGCTCGTTATACTTTATTGTTGATCATGTAGCTGGTGGGTTTTCCGGTTGATGGGTTTCATTTCGGAATATATTCGTTTTTCGGTCTACAGGGATATGAATTGCAATTGTTTGATTACTTGCCTAGTTCTTTGGATTTTTATTTAAACATTTTGATTTATTCCGTTAGCATTCCAAAGTTTCATATAAAATTTGAAGCTCCTCTGTTCAATGTTTAAAGTAAACTCTTCTTATTTCACTATTTTGTATGCCAATTGAGTAATTTGTTATATTTTTAAAATTATAATTATCGTGTCTGAATTGACAGTTTATGTTTCTGTGTATTCACTTGCGACTTACGTTAAATTTGAGCAAATTGCGGCGTTGCATCTGTTTTTATTTATATCTTTTCGAACAGCCGGTACATAATTTCTTAACTATATTAATTTGATAATTCTGCTTAGCTTACGTTGCCATTTTTTATTTTACAGGTACACATCCAGTTTAACTAACAAACATGCAATATCGATGGCTAATTTTATTATTCCATATACTACAATCAAAAAATTAATTGCCGTAAAATTAAAAGGTCGCCAATATAATAATATATTTTTCGGATTTGTTTTCTTGAATTCCCAGAACGTTGTATTACAGATAACATTTTATTAATTTTAGTACATTTCTTAATAAAGAAACTATAAATTTTACGGCAATTAATTGTTTAAGGGCAGATATCGTTATACGTTTCTAGGGTCTAGGTACATATGTATGTATTTAGGCGTGTGTCACAGCTACTGCGCTAAACAAACAACAACAACAAACTCAAATTACAACAATTTCAATTCGCATATTAATATATATTCCTGTTTCCAATTTTTCACTTACGCCTAAAGTATGTTTGACACAAATTGAAAATTACATTGAGCCGGAGCAAATTATTTATCACACATTCTCAGGGGTTGAATTATAAGTTGGGGTTTTCAATTGAACGCCCCCAAATTTGTTATAATAGATTATATCAAAATAAACCGAAAAGCAAAAATAGTAACACATTGTCTTCAGATTACATCATTTCTGAATATGAGATGTTTTTTAATTATCCCAACTAACTACAGGTACAAACACATATAAATATTTACGAATATTATATTTGTTTCTATTTTTGTATATTTTAATATATTTATATATTTTATTTTCAACATGAATACACAACAATGGTTATATAAATTCTAGAAATGTACTTGTAATTATTGTTGTTTTTCTGGTTTTCTTGTGAGCATTTATTTCTTATTTGGCTTAGTTTCCATCTAGTCCACGCACATAAAACATTTCTAAATATTTTGCCTTAACTATACAAATGCACACAAATAGGGATTTGATGCAACTTGATTAACATTTAGGTACATGAGTCTCTCGTTAGCACAGAAAACATAGAGTACAGTGAGCACATAGATACATTTTACATTTATATAATAAGTTTTGCTTTTTTCGGGTGATGTTTACTGCTCTATAAACAAATGTACGCACTTATAAAACGGAAAAATACCTCCGCTATCCGGTGTTCTTGCCCTCCAAAGTAGTCTTAAGAATATTTGCAGTAAAAAAAACCAATCAAATGATCTGTCATTTGTGTAAATTGATTAATTGTAACCTTTGTATATTTGTATATAAATTTATATATTTTTAAAACTCAACGTTTTCCATTGCACTTTCAACATTGCTCTCGAATTACTTGGCACCCAATTACTGGTTATCCAAGGGGATATACACACGAAACTAAATAAAGACCACACGAATCCGGTTCTAAATCCTACGTTAACTTGTTCGGTTATTACAATCGAGTCTTTCCGCCATCATTTGAAATAAGGTACTAAGGAACAGCTATCCCACAGTGATGACTGATAAATAGGTACTTTCGCATAGGAAACATGAAGGTTCGTTCTTCCTCTCTTCCGCACTGCCAATCCAAATTAAATATCTATAAAATACTTGATCTTAGTTAGTGTCCGTTTACATAATCCCCTAATTAAACTCTTTACATTTACAGTTTAAGTGGGTGGCTTAGCTCGTTAGATACACATATACTTATAAAAATAGTTTTCGATATTGGGAACTACGCGTTGAACCGTTTTCCTCTGACCTAATTGGATCCCACATGGGATGCTCTAGGCCTTATTACTTCTTAGTTGCTGATGCAGTTGCGGTTGCCGATGCATTGCCTTTCGTTTTGGCCTGGCTGCCCGATGTTGCTGCCTTCTTGCTGCTGCCTGCTGCAGTTGCTCCTGGTTTTGCCATGCCAGCAGCAGATGTTGCGGCTTTTGTGGGGCTGGTCGCGCCGGGTTTTATGGCTTTCACTGTTGACTTTGTAGGGCTGGTATCGCTGGGTTTTGTCTTGCCACCTTTCGCAGACTTTGCCGACATGTTGCTGCTGGCCGCGCCCTTTGCAGCCGATGGATTATCTGCTGGCCTGCTGCTGGACATATCGCCCGATGTTGCTATCTTGCCACTTCCTGCTGAAGTTGCTGTTGGCTTCGGGTTCGAGGCAGTTTTAGACGACGTTTGGTTAACCGACGGCTGAGCAGTTGCTGTGATATTGGTGGCTCTTACCGAGCCGCCTGCACTTGGAGCGACCTTGCCGTTTGTCACACCAACAGCAACTGTTGCTGGTTGGTTTGTTGTCGCAGTGGTTGTTGCTGGTTTGCCATCCGACTTAAAAGTGGATAAAGAAGCCGTTGGCTTGGTGCCAGAGTCAATATTTGCCTTCGACACCGATGCCGTTGTGGACTCGGCAACAGCAACGTTTGCCGATGGAGCAGCAACTGGTGTGATTTTTACTGCTTGAGTTATTTTGACTGGAGCAATATTTGCTGTAGTCGCGTCTTTGGTTGTTGCTGAAACACCAACAGCTGATGATATTGTCGTCTTGAGTGGAGTCGTTTTATCCAATTGTAATTCTTTAGGAGGAGCAGTAACAGTTGCAGCTCCAACCACAACTGTTGCCCCTGGCTTGACACTGACCAAAGTTGTAGTTGCAACACTAGCTGGTGGTGATGTTTTGATTGCTCCTGTAGCAGCAGAAACACTTGCTGATATTGTCGTTTTGAGTGGGGCTGGAGCTGCTTTATCCACTTGCTTTGTTTTGGCTGGCGCAGTTATTGCTGCTGATGGCGTTTTTACAGCAGCAATTGTTGCAGTTGTAGGTGCAACACTAGCTGTTGGCGTTGCTTTGATGGCACCAGCAGCAGCAACACTTGCTGATACGGTCGTTTTAGGTGGCTCCTTGCCAGCAGCTGCAGTTGTTTTGCCATTCGCCGCAGCAGCAACTGTTGCACCTGGAGCCACACTGCCTAAAATTGTAGGTGCAACACAAGCTGGTGGCGATGCTTTGATGACATCTGCAGCAGCAGCAGCAGCAACAGTTGCTGTTGTTGTGGTTTTGCTGGCGGCCACAGTGGTTGCTACTGTCGCCAAATTGACTTTCGTTGGATTCTTCTCCCCGCCGCCCGCAAAAGTGGACATTGCGGTGCACTCACGTCCACTGCTCTGAGTTCCGGCAGCCAGGACCTTTGTGGTTGCTGATTTAGTGTCCTTCTCAGCCGGAATAAGTGGCTGCTTGCTAGGACTAGTTTCGGTTGTTGGCGACTTGTGGGTGCCATTTTTGGCAGTTGTCTGCAGATTGCTGCTGCTGCTCTGTTTGCCCATTGTTTTGGCCGGGCCTGGCCGCTTGCCCACAGTCGCCAGTGGCAGACACTCGACATCCACATCTACGTCTAGGGTCAATTGCTTGTCCTTCTTGTTTGCCTTTAGCTTGGGCGAGGAATCGGGCTCGATGAGGATCTTGGTGTTGGTCACTCCATCGTAGTTCTGGCTTTGGTAACGCTCGGCATGGAGATTGACACAGGGTCTTCCCGCTGGTCCCCACTCGGCGGTGGGCTGCAGCAGGTGCTTGATGCGCTCCCGGAAGCTGAGATTTTTCGGCGCCCGCCAGATCTCCTGGAAGGCCACCAAGAAGATGACCAGCACGGGCAGCAATCCTACGATCCAGCCCACAGCATCCGCCCACATGGGATACACATAGTGACCATACTTAGCCGGCTTGTATTCCACCCAGTTGAAGAACAGAATGAACTGAAACCCAATAGAAAATTAAGAAAATCATTTAGTAATAGAAATAAGAATATAAACTCACCAAGAGCGTGGCTGGGGTGATATAACGCCACATGATGCCCCAGAAAAAGTTCCAGAACCACGACCGCTTGCCAATCATGCCCTGAATATCGTTGAGGAACCGCTGGGATCCATATATCCAGGCAATTAGAATGCACTCCGAAATGGCAATCAGCAGAACCGACCAGTTGGCTGCATATTTGTCCATCAGTTGCAACCAGTACATGCCGCTCTACAGGATTACGAATATGAATTAGTTTTATACAACGGATTTCTTTCAAGAAATACGCACATTAGTGGTGAAGCCCAGGCCACCGATGTAACCGAAAATGGCCACTGACAGGACCACCCAAATTTTGTACTGCCTCAGGTTGGGGAACCTGTCCAAAATAGCAGTGGTCACCGTCTCCATCAGAGCGAACTGCGAGTCCAGTCCCAGGGTCAGAAGCATCACGAAGAACAGGACGGCCCACACGGGTGATACGGGCAGTCGGGTGACCACCTCTGGATAGACGATGAAGGCCAGACCAGCGCCCTGGTCCACCACCTTCTCCACATCCACGTTCAGCTCGTGGGCCAAGAAGCCGATGATGGAGAAGATCACCAGGCCGGCAAAGAACGAGGTGGCTATGTTGCAGAAGGCCACGATCAGAGAGTCCCTTTAAGAAGATTTAGATCTATGTTACTTTTTATGTATATTTCAATAAAAGTATTCTCGTCTAGCACACTCTAAAATAAGAAGTAACTATAGTTTATCAACTACAGACTTATTTAGAACTATAATCTTTAGTTAAGTGTTTTAAAATTCGACTGACTGCATTTATTACGCTAGGAAACAGTGCTCTAAAATGTATTTTTTCAGCACTTTCAGGATGGGTTTTAAATATTTTATACTTACTTGTAACAATTGTTGGAGAACTTGTTGTAGGACGAGAGCGTGATTAAGCCTCCCCAGGCCGGACTCAATGCAAAGAATATCTGGACCGCAGCATCGCCCCACACCTAGAAGAAGAGTTTTCAAATTAAGGCCAGGTCCATGAGCAAGTTTATTTGCAAGGTCAAGATGCAACACCTACCTGGGCATTGGCCAGCTGCTTCCAATCGGGCGTCAGATAGAAGATAATGCCCGTGCTGGCGCCCGGCAGTGTGACACCCCGGACAAAGAGTATTACGAGGACGACGTAGGGAAACAGGGCCGTGAAGTAGACCACCTTGCCGGAGGACTGGACTCCCTTGCACAGGCACAGGAACACAATCGCCCAGGCCAGAAAAAGGCAGGCAGCTAGTGACAGCTTAATGCTGCCCGTCTCCTCGATGCCCTTGGACAGTCCCAGCACAAAATTGCTGCAAAACCAAAGTTCAAATCGAAAAAGAGGCTTACAAAGGGCAGGGGGAGTGTGCATGGATGAAAAGACTAAATATCCAAGTTAAAGTTTGAACAGTATTTTAAATAAATAATATTCTACTATCTAAAATCTTTAAGGACTGAAGTTTCACGGTACCAGTATTTAAAGTGCATCATTTTATTACATTTAGAGCTCGAAGAGATTAACTTGATTTTAAAGTTTTGGGATCAGTATGTATCCTTTTTGTTATTATATTATTATTCTAATAATCAAAAGTCTATTGGGCCTGTTCTGAGTTTTTATGTGAATGGATAACGTTTTAGTCAACATTCTTATATCTTCTAACTGTTATAGAAACAAGATTATAAAATAATTTGTGTAAGAAAAATATGAAATCAAATCATATCATAGCAAATTCGCATAAAATACTCGAAAATATATTTACTTGTTATAATAATGATTTGATAAAACATGTTTAAGTTCTAATTATATTTTTATGTTTTCAAATAGAAAAGGAAATTAGCGATACCATAGTATATAATGTGTGATTAGTAATTTAGAGATTTCGGAAACAATTTTACTTTGCATTCCATTGGTAATCCATAAAAACCTTATGAATAAGTATGTACGTATAAAATAAAAACTCCAACTGAATAAATTGGATATAGTGAACTATGTTTCATGTTATATTTTCCTGAATTTCAAATCCTTTTGTTTATCATCAAAACAATCCCAAATTCTAACGTTCATAATAAAAATATAATATCTAAATAATAATAATCTAAAATAAAGTGAAAATGGTTGAGTAAAGACCTAAAGATGGTTAGGATACCCACTTGAAGTACTCCTCGGCGGGGGGGCGCTTCAGGGCGCCGAGGGCCAAGGCCGTGATGTTGTTCTCCGCCGCGGAGGTGGCATTGTGGCAGGTTCTATGGTAGTAGGTGCCATTGGTGGCCTCGCACTGATCCGCCTGGGCGTACGAGAAGCAATCTGGAAGAGACTTGGGCTGTCAGCAAGTTTGATCTGGATTTCCACACCCACTCCCCCTCAATTATGCATAAAAGGTTAGAGAGCATTTTAATATTTATGAACTATTTGTCGGTCGGGCTGCGTTGGGTTGTGCAACTTTATTTTCTGTGTGTCCGGCTACATAATTAAAAGGACAAAGTAGCAAATCAGTAAGAGAACACAAAAGGGGCAGCTCGGGCAAACATAAAAAAACGGGTCTGTAAATGCCAAAGTCCTTTGGTCAAAAAGGGTTGGACAAAGGTTCTCGAAACTTGTAACTTCTGCTGCGACGACGGGTGTGAAAGCTCAATGCCAAAGCAATCTGTCTTGTTTTCCTTACTTTTTGGGGATTTTTTGACGTCTATAAAGTACTTTCGGGCAGCATTTCGATTAGATCTCCCCTAATGAGAAGCTTACTTTAACCAAGACCTCATATTTAACCAAAAAAAAAAACACCAAAAATCGTTTTTAGTAGCCTGTTTACCTGAAATTTGTCATCAAGTTTAGTGCAAATTCCACAAAAGTTGAAATTTCCGGATCTGCTTATGACATATGACATTTGACTTATGTATGCGTGCTGAGTGTCAAAAGAGTGAGTGAGAATGTGTCACCGCCAAAGTTTTTCACCCCAATATCCGCAAAATGACTAACTGACAGCTGAGTTGAACTTGTATGTGGATGAGGAAGATGATAAAGGACATGGTTGCCAAGCCCCAGGACTTTTCCATTTGACAGTACCTAATTATGCGGAAATGCAATAGGTTTTAATAAATACTTAAAAACATATTTCAAAGCCCAATCAACGCTTGCTTATAAGTATTACCATACAGCTCCCCTGAGTGAAAACCGAATAAAACCCCTCAATTACAGACGAAATTCCCTGCCAGAATTAAGGTTAAATTTCCAGCAACCCCACACACATTCATCAGACCAATTCATCAGCATCATTTTCCAACGGGGAAATAAATTTGAGAACAATTTCGTGTGGCTGTCGGTTGGTTGATGGTTTTGTAAAAAACTTCAAAGTGTTTACACGCCGTTTAATTTGCCTGTCTGCATCTGTTTGTATTGCAATTAATTTGATTACACAAACGCACACAGCGAATCGTATGAGATAAATTTTATTTGAAAAAGAAACGAGGATTGCCTAACAAATTCGGGCGGTCTACACATTCAAAATAAATCCCTGTGAGTGCGAGGGACTGTGTGTGTGTGTAAATATCCTGGTTGGAAAAGGATACACACGCCCAGACTTTCTTATTGAATTTGAGTGGCCTTAAATTCGGGACCTTTAAGTTTGATAGTAAACTTTGATGGTTTTCATTTTCCATGGAATTCTAGATGTTCGAATAAGTAAACTGTTAGTCTTAGGCCAATTACCGTGTAAGCTCACTTACGTTATTGGCCACAATAAAAATCTATACAAATATTTACTGAAAAAATATAAACACACAAGTAAGTGGAAAGCCAAACAGAGTGCGACATTCAATCCATATCCATGGACAAACAGAGTTAAACACATTTTAATCGTGACACTAAAAGTAAACATTTGTCATCTAAAACAGACGAGGACAAAAGGCGGCCAACGAGGTCAGGATGCTGGCAGCATCGAAAGGCGAATCGAAAAGTGTCAATAAATAAAATCCTTAAGAAATTGCTTGTCTGCCGAGGCAGTCGCTCTCCCTCTCCCTCTCCCGCTCTCTTTCACTTTCTCTTCTATTATGTACATAATATTTTCCCCAACCGTACTCAACTTTCCCTCGCTTTGTATCCCGAGAGCTTAGGGAAAAGCCCGGCCCAAGGTTGAATGTTCCTCAGCCAACGATTGAGTGTCAAAAACAGTTAAGACATAATTGTTTGTCATTTTAACAATTTCAAGCTGCCGTGTTCGTTACCCAGAAGGTGAAATATGAGGAACAGACGCGACGGGGGACCCTCAATATTCTCAATAGCATCCATTATCGATTTCTGAGCTGCCATAATAATAGCGGAAATGGCATCCAACCAGGGACCTCTGTCTAAGTCTGATTCCATTTCCAAGTCGCTGGCAAGGACGCTGGCTTACTTTGCCATCCTCTCACATAAAATCATGGATATATTTTATGGGGGCAGGAAGAGAGACGTTAGTAGCCGCTATGGTATTACCTAGATGTTTTTAATGAAAGGTGATTTATAAAGTGACTTATAAAAAGTGCGGGTATGTAAATTATATTGGTTTTTCAGCTAATAACCTAATATTTTTATTATACTGTTATATACCGATGTAAGTTATACCCATACACAAAGAATATTCCGACGTTCTCATCTGAGTTGATAATGTTCTTAAAAATAGAACAACATTTTTGAAGTTGAAAATGTTTTAATTTTTCTCAAATCAAGTTGAATTGAGAACATTGATACCAAAATGTACTTACACGGGTTTTAAGAAAGAATGTTCTCAATTCAAGAACAATGTACTTGAATATTTCCCTCTTGTATCTCTTATTAAAATGTTTCAGATTATAAATATATTTAAGTCGAATAATTTTTAGCGATTTTTAAGTTAATTTCTAGTCCCTTAAAACATCTAGTACTCCCAGTTAAAATGTTGCTGGGTTATTCTGGGTGGTTTTCTGCCTTGTTTTATACAAAACTTTCAAAGCTATTCAACTATAGTGCTTGTTCCATCTTATCCACACCCAGTTACTTGAGAATGTGTTTGCGTATATGTGTTGATATCCTGGCAGTGCTTTAAAGTTGTCAGCCATAAAATAAGCTAAGCAAATATAAATAATAAAAAACATAAAAAAGAATGAAAGAAGGTTCTAAAGAAGTAGACATATTTTATATGTAGGTCTCCAAAAGATTTTAAAATCGTACATAAAAAGTTATATATAGATTTTTAAATTCCTTGTTTTGAAAGATAAGCCCTTCTTGTGGAAAGGCATTTTAAGATACTTATGACTGTTTATGTATAAGGTTTGCTTTTAGTCCCAACATTTGGAAAGCACTTAAGAAATTTAATTTATGCTGAATGTCTTTCATAAATGTCTCAGAAAACGCCCGTCATCATTTCTGACCTACATGGAAACTTTTCCACGCTTTTCCGGCCAAGAATGAAAATCCAGCCAACTTCTATTTCCAGAATCCGGAAGAGTCGGCGTTCAATGCTCGTTAAAGATTTATGTGTTTCGCGTGGCGGAACGTTTTAAAGTGTCTGTGTGTCTGTTTCCGGGCAAAGAAGTCAAAAGCAGCGAATGAAACGCCTTCACACACACAATCACAGGAAAGTCCTTATGAGGACACACACACACACACTAGCTCTCACCTTACAATGTCAAACGAGGCACAAAAACAATTGCCTACTTCAAGGCGCCTAGGATTCCTCCATGCGTTATTGTTCCGCTCCTCCATCTTGTTTATTATTATAATTCTCAGCGAAAGTTTGTTCATACTTTTATTGTTTGCGTGTGCGTGAAGGAAGGAAATGGATGTGGACGTGGACGTTTGGATGTGGATGTGGATGTGCCTCAGGGCCAAATGAATGATGTACTTTTGATCCCCCTGGAATTAGGTTAACTTTAACTATTCGGATATTTTAGCTGCGAACTTATGGAGTTTTTTATTCAAATTTGTTTGCAATGATTTGCAAGTTTTCTCGGAAATTTCCCTGGGATTCTGAGTGTTTATCTTTGCTTTGGTCCCTGAATCAATTGTCTCCGGGGTCTGCTGGTTACACAACCATTTTGCCTCCTCATTTTTCCCTCATTTTCTTGGCCATGTGTTTTCCCAACCGAGCCACGTGCCGCCAATGGACAAAACCAAAAACAAAGCAGGGAGAAAAGCAAAATAAAATTCTACTTTTGACAGCTTGCAATTTGCTTAATTTATTACGGGGAAAACGTAACAAAAGATAGGAATCTGGCATCCTCTCATCTCTTCTTGCCCTGAGTGCTATGGCCTATTAATTAATTGGAGCCATCATATTATATATTTGTCCCCAGGGGATAAACTCACACTTTGTGCTCCAAGCGGGCTCGCAATTCTGCCACGGAAGCACCGGGGCAAACGAGGCGAACATGTAGAAGATGGTCCAGGCGATGATCAGGTTGTAGTAGAGCATCACAATGGCGGAGACCAGGATCATGCCGGTACCCAGTCCTCGGAAAAGTGGGCAGAACCGGCGATAGACGGCCACGGGACCCAGGGCGGCATACTGACCGAAGGAGAGTTCCATAAACATCAGCGGAAGTCCGGCAATCACCAGCATTATAGTGAAGGGGATGAGGAAGGCTCCTAAAAAAGATTGTATTTCAATAAAAATATAAATTTATTTGTGAAAAGTCTTAAATTAAATACGGGAGTTTTGAAATCACTTATAAAAGTTCCTAAAATTATGCAGGAAACAAATTTATTGCATACTTTTATACACGTTTATAATTTATTGGTTTCTGTGAAATCCTGAAAGTACGTTTAATAAGATAAAGTATGCCTTATAATTGTATTTTAACTGATAAGTTATACGAAAATAAGACGACGGTGTCACTAAAATCACTACTTTTCAAATTTAAATGCCATATTAAGTGTCTAAAAGTATGCAACAATATATTTAAAGCTAATTTAGCTAATTTACTATTCTTTATGCACTGCATATTTTAGGCACGTATAATGGCTTTTAAAAATAAAGTAAGCCCCTTGTGGTTTGTGAGGCATCGATAGGTACTAATCCTTTAATAACCCTAGATAAATATTATTTTTTAAAGTTTAAGGCTACCAACCTCCTCCGTTGTTGTAGCACAGGTAGGGAAAGCGCCACACATTTCCCAGGCCCACTGAGTAGCCCAGAAGCGAGAGGAGGAAATCGAAGCGACCCGTCCAGGTGCCTCGTTCATGTTCCGATTCTCCTGCTCCGCCGGCTCCTGGGCCAGTGGCGTCCAGTTGGATGAGAGCCGTTCCGGAGGCACAACCACTGATCGCCGTCGAGGGGCAGACCACGCCGCCTCCTCCTCCTCCGCCAGCTCCAGATTTACTGCTCTGCCCCATTTCGGTGGCAGTTCGATCTTCCTCCAGCTGTAAAATATGCAAATATATAAACTAATTAGATAGTTCTTACAGGTGACAACCAATTGGCCAACTGCCAATTTTCACAGCTGGCCAAGAGCTCTTAATTTATACTGTGTAGCATACTGATGAATTTTATTGACCTCGATGCAAGCTAAATGGAAACAATGAAGAAAGGTCATCTGACTAAAGCTGCATATATATATATATATATAAGTTAAATTAGCATTGTTGCACGAGGGTGCAAATAACTTTAAATAAGGTCAGATTAAATTGCAAACTTTCACCTAAATACCCCTAATAACGAACTAATTAGTTTAAATAGGTTTATATCAATTATAAATGCAATGGCTACTTTGAGTTTCCGTTTGATTAGGTGGGTGGCCCCTTCTAGAATTTCATATCCTTTTGATAAAGCTTGTATTAGTTTGCAAAGCATCCCTTCACCGCGTCAGTCCATTCAGTAATATTTGTTATTTATTTTTATGTTTGCCTTAAGCTATTATGCGTCATTAGTCATGTTTCTGCAGGTGCTTGTTATTTTTTTACATTTTGCTGGCACTAATTGCATTTCTATTTATAAATTTTTTAAGCTTGACTTTGATGATGATTAGTTTAATATTTTGCGCACTTTTCTTCTCTCCTTTTTACTTGTAAGTTCCATTTTATGAAAGTCCTTGAAGGATCTTTGAATTTTTCACCATAATGGGTTCTATACATAATTCAATAAAGAAAAACAATATGGAAACAATTCCAGCTTAATAAGTTTTGGTTTAAAAACTAAGTATGGAAAATTAGTTAATTAGCTTTTGAGTGTGAATATTGGCATTTAATTATCGCAGACGGAAGTTAAGTGTGTAATATAAAAACCATTTTGCTTTATTTAGAATTTAATTAACAGCCTCCTAATAATTTGAAAAAAATTACATTTTAGAAACCAATATATGCTTTACTAAAGAAAAATATTGTGGGCCCATTTGTTAAATCTGGTATATCCTAAACAGCAAGACTTTTTTATCTGTAAAATTATAATTTTGGACATCCCAAAGCTATTTAATCAAGCTAATTCAAACCTAATCCTTGTTCAATCGATAAGAATCTGCTGTCACATTTTGCAATCTCCGTTTCTTTAATTAAATACACTTACAGGACTGTTTTTTTTGACGGTGCTAACTTTTTGAGCTGAGGATAAATGAGTACTCAAGAAAATGACGCGCCGTCAATGGCACTTGATGCTGGGCGCACTCACACCTACTCACACTCACCCACACACTCACAGCCACCCCAGACACACCCCACATACACCGTATATGTATAATTTATACTATATAGTCCAACTGTCACACTTTCTGTAGTGGCCATAACATCGTGTGATGGGATATGTGATGAGATGTGAGAGGATTTTCCTGCTTTTCCGGCACTGCTTGAGTGTTTTTTTGCCTGGTCACGTTCTTGTGACATTTTCTTGGCTGAGATGGCGTTGTTTTTTTTTATGGCAATTTGTTGACAGCCTCGTAATTAGGCAGTCAAATGTGTATTTAAGCAAGTGAGTGTGTCAATGATGATCTCAGATCTCAGTAAACCTGTGAAAATCTGCTTTGAATCGTGGGAAAGGCCAGGGAATTCCATCTCCGAGTGGAAAGAGCCGCAGGGAAAATGGGGTAAAGCCACAATACCCAATTCCCATTGCCATTTTCGAGCAAGGTTGCTCTGCTCCTGGCCTGGTTTTTCCATTTTCCCCACCCCTTTTTGCGGTCCAGCATTCCGCCTGCAACTATTCCAACCCATTCGCAATGCCCGTGGCATTTGCTTAGTAAATAGTTCCTAATGATTCCTCCTGGCCCAAGAATGCGATTCAGCGGCGACAAACAGAAAAAATCACAATAAAACGAAACAGAGGAGCAAACAAACAAACAAACAAACTGGCGGAGAACTAACTGCAGTACAAATAAACATTTAGCTTTGTGCGAACTTTTCGGAATATAAGCGAAACACAAGCGGCTGACAATGAAAAGCGGGGGGTGGCAGGCGAAAGCGCTAAAGTTTCCATTGAAAAAGCGTGAAAAGAGCTAGGAAAGTTTTCCTTCGCAGCGGTCAGGTGAAAACGAAAGCGTTTTAACGCCCACAGAAAATCTATACTATTTTTACGAGCGATATTCCAGCAATTCGACTATTCGGAGCACGTAAGTCTACAGTTGAAACGAAATATCAAAATTTAATTTAATTTCATATTTTGTTCACGACATTTTATTGATTGTATTAAATTGGCAGATGCGTTTGAAGGTTTTATTGGTAAATTGCAATTGGAAATTTTATTTTATTGTTTAAGAAAAGAATATACTTCTTTGTCCTTATTTCTATCGGTGTAAAAGAGTCTGCACAAACAGTTGGCATTAGGGTTAAGCAAATAAATGGGTAGGGTTAGTTTGCCAACTGAAAAGTAAACTTTGAACTTGCTGTTCCAATTTAGATATGAGACTTGATTGAGGAAATACACTCGGTCAGGGTTTTTCAGGTGGAGATATAACGAAATTGTAAAGCAAATGTTTGGTCAATAGTTATTGCTGATGCTTAAACTCCTAGTTGAATACAACTAATGCAATACAACTAAAATCCTTTAAACTTTTAATTGAACTAACCGATTTAGTAAATGAACCACACTCAGGCATTGAGGTGATCTTTTTTTAAAGGGGTTTTTAAGAGGATTTATATTAACTAGTTTGATAGTTCAATAAATGAAATTGGATATTTGTTTTAGTGAATTTGTTTTTGTTGTAAATTTATTTTCGTTAAACGAAAGACTTCTGAATGATCCTATTTTAAGAATTGTATTAAACGAGTTAAAGAGTTGTCATCGCAATTTTAAATAAGTTTAATACTAGTATTGGTTAAATTACATTCGGGGGTGTCACAGAAATCACTTTGTATGATGCTTATATATATATTTCCCCCGAAATTCGCTTGAAGATATTTCTGGGATCAAAATATAATTATAAATACCAGTTTTTATTAATGTTACCATGTTTTTTTCTTATTTGTAATGTGTGGCAGGGTTGCCCTGAACGTTTTGTAAGCAAAAAAAAAGTTGATAGTTAATATAAAAAGTTGGCCACGTGTGAGAGCGAAAAACTAAATAAATAAGAGGACGGTGGGAGTAGAACTCCTATTCCATATACCACCCAAATCCCCCCCCCCCCATTACCCTCGTTCTATGCCTTGTTTATGTTTGGTGAATTCGAGTGTGAAAATGTTTTCGAGCTTCTGCCGTCGCGTTCTCGCTTGTTTACGCTTGATGAGAACAAAGGGGCGGCGGTGGGTGAATTGCACTAAACGACCTTGGGAATCTGCAGTGCTGAAAAAGGGGAAAAGGGGGGTTGGAGCCGCTTACATGAGCTGCATTCTAGTTTTCCTGTTCTTTTTTTTGCCAGCAATCCGCCGACAGCGTTTTCCGCCTTTTGGCATTTCATAATTTTCCCTTTTTTGACATTTTTATGCGAAAGTTAAATTTCCCTGGCCCGAGAGCCCAAGGCAAGACAAGGGACCTTCGTCATCGGCATCATGGTAATCATCAGCGCCGTTCCATCTGTATTTTCTGTTGTTGCACAAGTCACGGCAATTACGAAGGGGCAAGCTCTGAGCACTTGAACTTGAACCCACGAAGGCTGCCCACAAGCGGCAAACAAAGCGAGTGGCGACCTTCGCCCCTTGGGTGAAAGTGGGCGGATTATGTTTAGGAGAACGGGTGGGCCTAGGATATGAAAAAAGTACTGCGAAAAAATTATAAATCCAAAATTGTATAATATAAAGTCAGCCAAAATAGAAGAGATATGTAGAGATTACACGGCAACGATAAAAAGGCAACTAAAGATATATTTTAACATCCTTGCATATTTAATAACTTACGATTTTAATACAATGGTCTAAAATCTAAACATTTAATATTAACGAAATAAATATAGAAATTTTTCTTTAAAACACAAAAATATGTCATAATTTACTCCATTGTTCCAAAGGTATAATAATAATAATAATATAATAAAAGAATAACGGTCATAATAGTTTGAAAATGAGATCGCAACCGGAAGTAAAGGTAATGCTGATCGAGTATTTAATTTTTTATAGGGTCGGAAAATTATGAACTACTAATCTCCTTCAGTAGTTTAAAAATCCCAAAAAAGTTTTTTTAACTTTCATTTTAATGTTTTTTTTTTAATATTTGAAAATTTTAAAAATTTTTCATTCTTAAAAAAAAATTAAAGTAAATCGCAAAGGAAACGGGTGGCATCACCACTTTTATGATCTTTAAATTGGTTTTAATAATATATCTTGAACTTTCCTAATTAATAAATCTAAATTATAAATGAGTCTCTTGCATGATATATGTATGTATTATGCAAGATATATCACCTACAGGTCATGATGACAATCATGACAGTACAATTTAAATTTTGCCTTTAACTACCTTATCTGAACGTGCAATGTAGGCTACGTAAATTGTATAAGTTTTATAAATTATAATAGGTATGTGTTGATTGCATAAATGTTTAAATCATACATACAACTGCAATTGGATGATAAATGGCTGAGCGATGAACACCAAAGCCTTGAATAATTATGCAGTAACAAGTGTTGCCTCTCGGAAAAGTGGATGCAAATGAAACCATCGGGAGGAACAAAAAGAGCAGATGATGCTGGCCCCTTTGCATGTAGAGGGTAGTTGGTGCTGTTCAATGAATTATTGGTGCTATTTCAAGTGCAATATCGATTATTCAGTTTTGCGGGAGCTATAGCTATAGCTCTGTATATATGTATGTGCGACCATCGGCGGAGGCCAAAGCACACGCATACAAATTTGTCTCGATGCAACGAAGTTGCCTCCATTCCAGTGCTTCCCTCGGAAAATGCTTGTGGAAAACAGATTTTCTGCTGCTCCCCCCACCCCCTGCCTCACCTAGGGGTCCTTCGTCTCCACTCCCTGGGGGTCCTGCTCCCCGCATTAAATATTCATCTACTTCGTCATCGTCTGTCGTCCTTCGCTGTCATCGTCCTGGTAATCGCAAATTCAGCGCTAAATCACAATCAAAATGCGCGTAAAGTGGCATTTCAAGTGATTTTCCTCTTTTTTTTATGAATTTCAAATTGCAAATCATTTCGTTGATTAAATTGTTGAAAATGGCAGAGTAAATTTTGTATTGCTTGCGGCCTTCCTTTCTAAGATAGAGGGATAGCTCTGAGAAGATAGGAAAAACAAATACCTGGACTCGAAGAAAGGAAATGCAGTTTTTCCCAGACACTAATTGAACTGAATTTGAAAATATTTTAAGTGGATAACAAGTTGGGGCTATGCGTTGTCAAAGAAAATTGGTACAATTGCTAAGTCACCTTTAATAATCGTATACTCAATATATCCATTACCCTATTTTTAAGTTAATTGCCCCCCAATATCGATTGAAAATTACGTCAACTAAAAGCGTTTGTGTTTTTGGTTGAAAAGTTGAAAAAAATGAGAGTGAAAAAATTAATGCACCAGAGTGATGCGCGTGAAATATGAATAAACAAGGGCGAGGAGAGACATCTGGCAGTTAAGTGAGTTATGTCTGCAAATAATTTTTTCTTGTTATCCAGTTTTCGCAGAATTTTCGCATTTCCTTCTCGTTTTTTACCACCTTTGCATACATTTTCATGGTTTTGAGTGCATCTGACTGTCGAGTGTGTTGCGTATGCTGCCTGCCGTGTTTTGTTTTTACTTTAAATTTGCAATTTAAATGTAATTTCTCAGGGCAAATGGGTTGCGTTTTATTTGGTTTATGACAAATGCACACCCAGGCAAAATACACAGATTTAATGCTTTCAGACATGTGGGCGGAATATTTCTGAAGAGGTGGGCCGCGGCGAAGGGTATGAACTCGTTTTTTAAGTGAGGACATATTGGCAAGCCAAATGTGTTTTTTCCAAAAAATAGGAGGGTGTAACAAAAACAACTGGGGCTTAAAATCACTTATAAGTTATAAGGGTGTGTAAAAGTATGCAATAGTAGTTTTTTTCGGGCTCTTTCCATACTAAAATACTGTTAGTTTGATAAAAGGAAAAAAATCCTACATGCAGACTAAGAAATCCTTGATTAAGACCAAGATAGACCTATTTCAAGTTCGAATTCTTGAATTTTGATTATACTAAATTGAAAAGGAATTTAATTTTTAAGATCCGAAGTCTCGAACAATCCAAAGCCTTTAAGTCAACAATTCTGCTGGTAAAGTAATAAAGTAGTTTTTCCATTTTTCGTGGATGAACAGAAAGTGGTGGGGAAATGCCCAAAAGAAGCTTTTTGCCGATTAGCACTTGTAAAATTTTCATTTGCGCACAAGTTTGCAAGCCAATTGTTATTGTTCCACGGCGATGTCGCCATCTGTTTGCAGCTGTTTTCCCTTCGTTTGTTTTCCCATTTTAGAGTTGTTTATTGTTTGGTGGAAAGCGAAAGAAACCATTTACAAAATGTCTTTCGCGTCAGCCACTCGATGCACTTTTGTCGTAGTAGGACTTTCCACTTTATTGGACCAATATCATTGCGATGAGATGGTAAATAAAAGTCGGGATTCCATGTGGGCTGACGCTCAGATGAAAATCCTTTTGTTGACTCTTTTGGGTCTTGTGCTCTTAATTCTTTTAGGGTTTCTGGGTGAGTTTTAATGTTAACCATCACTTTGACCGACTCACAGTGCGGATATTTCCGATTTCATTTGGATGTCAGGATGTATCTGCTGCTTTTGCCGGATTTCGAAGGCTGTGGAGCTGACATCCGATGGCCTCGATGTCTACGCCCCACGAACCCAGAGCATCGTGTGGCCCACTTTACCCCAGGAGACGGCCCGCGTCCTGGAGCTGACCTTCCTGCACACCACCAAGGTCAACTGCCTCTGTAGCAACTGTCGCATCGCCAGGAGTTCACTGTGCACAGGAAACTGTGGGGTCAGCCCACAATGTGCTTAGAAATCTCATAGCCCATTGGAAATGCAATGGATGACATTGAACTACATTTTAAGAAGCTACACTTTACTGCCTTTTTCTGGAAATCCTTATAATATAATCCTTATAAGGATTATTTTAATTAAATGGGCTGAAGGGCTAATATCATGTTAAAACTAAAACTGCTTAATTGGACATCAAGTTTTAGGGTTTCTTGAGATCGGTTTATCTGGAATTTTTATTTGTACGCTTAATAAAATCTCTTTTATGTGGATTCCAGCTGACCTTTACATTTTAAAGGCCTTGATTGCAGGCCATGCTTATAAAAACATCTATCTTTATGACTATCTTAAGAAGAATTCCTTGACATTTTTTCCTTGGCATGGGGTTCTTTAAATTTTCAAAATCAAGATCAACCAATTTAAAGACGTCTTTCGTTGCCCCGAAACAGCTGCATTGTTGATAACACTCAACTGGTTCCAACAGAACGCTTTAAGTTTGTTCAGTTGCATTGGAACAATTGCCGGAACACCATGGGTCTGTCCGCCCAGGTAAACATGGCCAGGTGGACGTTGCTGCTGTTCGCATCGATAACCCTTGATCCCCTGGTCAAATCCGATGAAAACTTTACAGGTAAGCGCACTTTGGAATGCTGCCGTGTTTCATTTGATTATTTATTTTTGAATAACAATTTCTATGCATTCTGGGTAAGACTTTGACTGGCTAAATGAAACGCAGCTGCTGCAAATGTTTGAGTTCGATAACGAAAACAATACTGGCGAGAATTCCACGGAATTAGATTTGAACACGCTGGTGGAGACCTCTATTGTTGGCCAAACAGTTGCAAATATAAGCAGCAATGGGGAAATTGAATTCCCAATAGAAGATCTGAGGCAGCATAGGCACTATGCTCGCTTTGTCTTTATGGTTCTGCTTCTACACATTGCAGTTGTGGGAGTTGGTAAGTTGGCTCGGATTAAAATATTTTTATTTCAATAGCTGAAACATTAAGGTACGAAATAACTATGTTCCAAATGGAAATATTCTAAACAACTTTAACTTTAAAATGAACCTATTTTATTACAGATTGTGGTGATTATTGTAAAGGCTTACCAACTTTTCAAATCCCAATCAAATGTTCTTTGAAGTTGTTTAGATTTAACACTTTTTTGATGTGATTTATCCACCGTTTTAAGTTTTAAATTCAAATTTGCTTCTTTAGGACTCAATGTTACTCTAAAGTCTTTCCCTTTGATAAATAATATTATTCAAGAACTCTTCAAAATGAGTAGATATTCTAAAACATATCAATCTTATCAGCATTCTCTCTCTAATACAATGATGAATGTATATAAACAGGGATTACCATCTATAGCTGTGTCTACTGTAAAGTCAGGACCCTGAAGAAGCTCTCTAGAAGAGAGGCGCAACGGCGATTGCAACTGACGAACCTGCGGACGGAGCACATTCCCAATTCCCGTGATTGCCCGTGCCACGGATGCATTTTGGCCAGGGAAATGCTGCAGGGTTTGATCATGCAGCAGTTGCAGGAATTGGTGGAATGCTGACACAGGATGCTATGCTGGGGAGGAATTTATTGGAGACGTGTAGGCAACCTTCGGCCTTCGATATTGATTCAGATGCAAGCAAGCAGATATTTGAAATTTGTATGCACGTGGGTGGACTCCACTCACAATAAAAATAGTAATACATTGTAAAAATAGATAATACGATCTATTGAATATTTGTATAATTTTTTTAATAACCTTCTTTAATTTATACAGCTTATTGGGTTCTGGAACAGCTCTATTATAAAATAAGATGTTTTTAATGAATTCTTCCTAATTTTAAATGTATTGTTGCATACTTTTAGACACTCTTAGAACTAACTTTATTTCCTAGAGATATCTGTGCCACAAAACTATTTGTTTATTAAGGAATATAGAAAAAAAACATAAAAATTAAAATGATTTTCTATTAAAAAATATAAAATAATATTTTTAATCTTTAATATGATGGGTTTTTAGGTTTTATCCTGAAGTTCCTCTTTCAAATTCTACAGCTTTTAACACCAAGTTCTGGCCCTTGCTTCAGGTGTACCGATGTATTCACGCAATCTGATTTGATTATCATATGTTGCATATGAGCGCGGTTCCCTTGAGGAAGCACTACGCTTAAATGGACACAAATGTCAATGTTAGCCGCAAACAACTTACACAATCGGCCTTCCACATCCGTATTCCTGCTTATATCCACATCCATGGATATTGGCAGTTGCATTGTCAGGGAAATGCAACAACATCTGCGGCGGAGAGATAGTGAGCGAATGGAGCGGGAAGTGTCGGGAAAGCCGGGGAAAAGCTCGTGCTGACATGCACAAGCAGTTTAACAGCTTATTGCTTTAGCCGTGGCTAGCTTTTCTCGACCCCTCTCCCACTCTCAGTTGCACCCTTGCAAAGGTCAAAGTTCGCATATCTAGTGTATTCCGCACGATTGCAACAATAAATATGTGTAATCGATTTTTCCTTTTGCCCCTTTGGTTATTAGCTATTAAAATGTTTGTTTGCAATGACCTTGATATTTATAAAATCATAAAAATACTAAATAATTGTTTAAAGCGATGTTTACATCTATATGTTTAAAAATACAAATTTGTTCACCAAACAAAATCAGATTTCTTTTGAAACAAAACATCCCAGAGGTTCATGGGACCCCCTTAATATTATCAATTTACCACTTAAGCCCACAAGAAGTTTCCCGGACGATAAGTCAACAGATCCACCACATTGCGTATACGCCATGGCTGACACAATACACAGCCAAATCCAGCCATCCATCAGGATATGGCTTCGACTCTAATGCACTGTATCCAGTACGATGTCACCGATCACTTTTTTTTGCCTGCTTGCTGAAGTTTTTATTATTATTTGATTGCGATTTAAATGTACACACAGACACAAAGGAAAAGCGCTCGAAGCCAAGCGTATAAAATAACAAATAGCAAATGGCAAACGCCAAATAGGAAAAAAAAAGAACCAAAATGCTGGGAAACTGAGGCTGAGCCCTAGCAAACACGCACAAAACACGAAGGAAACAACGCACGTTCATGCCGAACAGGAAGGAAGGCACAAGGCACACAGGAAAAGGAACAAAAAGCGACACGAGGAGGGGGGGGGGTATGGGGATGGGGGCGGAAGGACCCTAGCAGAGGAAGAAAAGCGCGCGCCAAGGGCAAGGATGCTAAGGTAGCGAGAACAACGAAAACAGCCACAGCAATAACTATAACAAAAGCCACGGCAACTACAGGTGTATTTCAGCTAGTTGAACTGGGATAGATGAAATTAAATAATTTGATGATAGATTAAATGTCCAAAATAATAATACAGTGTTAAATATAAGTTTAAGTTCTTAAATAATATAGCAAGATAAGTTATCAGAAACCTTGGCTCATATCACTTAATGCATTTTCTGTGTCCCTTAAACAGGGGTATTTGGATTTCATGTACTCAAGAGTTCAGAAAACCTGAAGCAGAAACATAGTAATATATTTTGAGAATAGTTTATACCTATTGCAAATTAATATTTAAGTATTTTATTTTTGGTTTGTACAGAGTTCCCAAAGCAAGTGACTTTTTATTAACCCTTTAACCCAATGTTTACTAATTACATTTTTTTTAAAAGAATATATAACATACACGATGATTAGAATAGGAAAAATCAAATTTTAAAATACATTTGATTTCTTCACTTTGAAAAAATAGACATTTGAGATTAGATGTGGAATTTAAGACGATAATATATATAGGTTCTTTGGGTATTATTTACATACCTTTCGCAATGAACCTTGAAGGAAAGTAATAAACTATTTTGTAATATTACCAATCTTATCATTTCTTGTGTTGAACAAAAAAAAAAGAATATTGCACTTATTGAAGCTCGACTGTATACAATAAAAAGAACTCGACATAGACATTCCAATAACAATGAGGCAAGAAAGCGAAAAAACCCGCCGAAGAAGGCAGGAAAAACTTAGGCTGAAGGAGGAAAAGGGTGGCCGAGAGCTGTAAAAAGTTATCGGGACTCGTGCTGAAGATGCCGCAGGGAGTGGGGGGCAGTCCGTGGGGATAAACGAGGGACCCCAGCGGGTGGAAGCTGGAATTAATTTTGCGTTCATCCACGCTTGGCTTGAGCGGGGGGCGGGAGGCGGGGCAATGGGAGAAGGGCCACTGCTGGATGCACCACTCTTGGCCAACTTGTGGCAAATATTTGCCCAGCCCGAAGTATCCATTTGGCCCGGAATTGGATGCACCTGATGCCCAACGAAGCGATTGCATTTGGGAGCGACGGGGAACGGGCTTACGACATGTACATGCAAATTTATTGAAAAAGATTCCGGGATAATGCAAATTACGCTTCCAATCCGCGTTCAATTTTAGCTCAATCTAAGTCATAAATTCTTGGCTTCATTAAATCTCTACTTAAATTGCAAATCCCCTAGTAATATTTCAAGTTAAATATGAATATGGTTTATGGCACATTTCAACGTAAGGATTACTTTTGGGTATTACGATTTTTTGTTAACAAATTTCAAAATTCTTGTTAGCAACTTTTTGTTAAATATGGTTCTACATAAAGCTCAGTTTTCTACCTAGCCAATTAAAGTTTCCAGCTAACTTGGGTTTCGCGAATGAATCAAATTAAGCCACCTTTAAAAAGAAACTTTTTCATGGAGGTCGACTAGTTATGGTTTCAATTACTTGGCTTGGATAAAAAAGTTTATTAGCTAACTTATGGGGTTTACAAAATCTGTTTCAATTTTTAAAACCTTAAACAAATTTGGGTGTTCAGAATTAATAAAAACAAAAAGATATAACTTTCAAGATATAAATGAAGGTCAACCTACCTAAGATTTATATTTATTTTTTGTACAGAAATAATTTACCATTTAAAGTTTAACCCATTTTTTTTTTGATTCCTTTAGGAAGTTAATTTTATCAGGGATTCTTTTAAACCACCTCTAAACACGGGATCACGTTATCGCCATTTAATTATTTAAAAGTTTCCTTGAATGTTGTTTGGAGTTGGCTGGATTTTCAGTTAAGTCTTGCTGCAAAATCCGGGCAAACTTTCGCCTTAACCCCAAGGCTTCACTTTCACTCATAGTTGGCCCCGAAAAAGTATGCTATGAAAATGCTCCAATCGCAGCGCATTTTCATGGCCATTTCTAGTGAATTATGGGTCGATCGGGTGGCTTTGGGTGTCCAATGCAGAGGCTGGCGGGATGGCAGGATGACAGGACGTTGGGATGCCGGGATGGCTAGTAATCAGGCTGCATTAACGGTGAATTAACCAGACAATGCAGTTATCCTGCGCGCAGGATGCTCGTGTAACGGGATGCCGCCTAATTAACTCTGTCAACGGGTCCTGCGGGACCTTGGTTCGGGCTTTGGCTATAATTGTTTTAAATATTTACTGCCAGGCCTCGAAGGACACTCCCACCAATACACCAATACACACACGCACACCGAACACACTCGCACACTTGCACACACACACAAGTACATGCGTACACTACGCGGGACTTACACAATTAAGAATTTGCAATGGTATTTCCGCTCTCTCTCTCTGGTTTTCTTCACTTTTCAACACTTTTTGCGAGGATCTTTTCTCTTTTCTTATGCTTGTCCAGAACAGATGCTTCACCGAATGTTAGTAAGTATGTTTTTTGACCACTATCTGTAGTGTTTTTGTTTTGTCTGCTCCCGTGGGTGGATCGAAAAGTAACGGACACATGGAGCGTCCAGTTTGGCGGACAATTCGAAAGCAACTGAAAGTGAAACGGAAGCAGCGCCAGGAGAATCCCGCTGAAAAGCGAGCGCGAGTGTGGGTGCGAAATGCGAAATGCGAAGAGTCGAATGTGAAAAGCGAGAGAGCGAAAAGCCAGCGCTTTTCTTCTTTCGGGAGCGGGGAAAGCTCATCCGCCGAAGCTCTTCCCACGCTCGCTCGCTTGCCATAAAAGTTTATGGCAGCTGCTGGGCGCTGCTTTTGATTTGCAATTTGATTTACGGCCCATTGGAATGGGAAAATGGGCGACTTTGGCGAAAAAAGGAGGCGGGAGTGGTAATGTCGTTAGGGCCACTGTGCAAAAATTAGCTCAATCCGACAGTGGGAAAATAATGTATCTTAAATCAAGTATACGCCCTGGAGTACACTACTTTAAAATAAAAACAATATAAAAATAAATTTTAATTAACATAAAATGTTTTAAATTGAGAAATTTAACATAAAAAAATAATAATTTTGTATAGTTCTATGAAAATAACTCTTATAGATATTATTATTGAGATAATTTCTATAAAAAAAAATTAACTTTTTATAGTTTTATGAAAATAACTCTTATACGGATTACTATAATTATTTATTCTAATAACTACGTGTCACTGTTTAGATTTTAAAGGTTATTTGAAATTCATAGAATCATAATATTATTTAAGTCAGGAAAATTACGGAACATTCAATAGTTTAGAAATCTATAAGGTCCTGTATTGGGTGCCAATTTTGTTTGCTAAGACATAATCGACATCAATCGTTAAAAAATAATTGTAAAAATTGCATACATTTTATTAATTATTTAAAACCTAATAAATAGGTTTAAAGTCTACCAGAGGTACCATATTAATATATACATGTTCTACCCCAATTTAGCGCTAAGCGATTTCTGTGGCACCCCAATATTGCATAATATCCTTGCAGTGTCCTTTACATTTTTTCCAGTAATTGGCTTTCAGTGCATCGGTGAGCTTTCCATTCTTTTTACGGATGGTTCGGGGCAGTTAGTGAGCATTCACTATGTCCTTGAACAATAACTCACTTAATTATCCATTTGCATGTGACTGCATGTGGGTGTGTTGCCCAGTTGTAAGAGTGGGTGCCCGATGAACAATGTGCAGACGGCCAATTTAAATGCGAATTATAATGCAATTAAATGGTTGATCAAATTTTAATTCGATTGGAAAAATGTGGAAATTCGACAATGTTAATTGGGAGGTAGAAAGGCTTTAAACAATACAGTAAAGTTGGCTGTCATCTGCCGACTGTTTACCTTGTGAATATCCCCCCAATCGGTCGATAGTTTTCATTCGGCTTTCCTTCGCCCCCCAACCCCCCCAAAAAAAAGGGGGATAAATCCAATACAGACACATCGAACAGTTAGCCAGGCGACCTTCAGGAAAAAAAGCTGCCTCGACCTAGACACTGAAACACTGGAGCATTAAAATGTGAGAAAAATCAGCGAGCGAGAGAGCAAGAGAGAGCGATTTTCCGACGCTCCGGGTGATACATTTATTTACGCAAGTGTTCGAGCTTAGCGAAAGGAAACGGAAATGGGAGTGGAAGTGGAAGTGGGCGGGGATAGCGCTTCAGCGGCCAACGGGGCGTATGAATGTCGAGCAAACGTAAGCCGCTTACGAAAGCTTTCGCCAAAAAGGGAATAACTAAGTTTTAAACAGTTTTCATTCTGGATAGTTGCCATACAATTTTCGCACCGTCTCCATGTCCCTAAGGCTGATCCCTTCCCTCCATTGTTTATATATACTTTTTTCTCATTTCCCTGCTGCGCTTATCTTTTCCGCAAATTCACAATTCGCTGCATTTCCACAAGCTGCTAGGACAATTTCTTACATAGCGATTCATGCTATCCCCACCATCGTTGTTATTGTGCAAGGTTATGAATGAAAAGCTTTTTCAATTCAAGTCGGACCCTCGGGTCATTTTCCCGATTGCTTTCAATGCTCGGGCTCTTAATGCTCTTTTCACTGGAAATTTTCTGTTCAGGAAGGTGGGGATCCGAAGAGAGCGGTAGAGGCTTACCTTTTTAATACAACTATGCGTTTAAAATGCATTATTATAATTTATTTACTGGGAACCCGAGAAAGAAATATTTTGTTGCTAAATGTTTGTCTTATTTTATTTATTTGACATTAGAAATTCGTTTTTTATGTAAGTAAATTATCTTCTTCAGTCGGAGTCAGTAAATTAATCTTCTAAGTTGGCAGTACCAGATTGGACATTCAGGCAGTCCCATATCTAGTTAACATAATCTACCCGAACGCTGTGAAATCAGCGATGACCCGATTCTGACAAAATACCGAAAAATTCCACATTTCATCCTCTTTTCTGAAAGCTTTCCCGTGTACCGTAAGGCTGCTCCGTAATCTTAAAACCGATTGCATCCATATTACCGCGTGTGAATTTTTGGAACTTTCTAGATTGTTTCTATCCATTATCATTTCCTATTCTTGTGGTAACATTATTGTTGCAAGTCATGAGCAGTTTTCCCCAAGGAAAACTATTCGGAACTAACTAAGTAAGGGATCATTGAGATTCCCTCTCTCTGCGTACAGCTAGGTGAGGGTGCCGTGTGCAGCGGCTACTTTCGCCTTTCTACGATCGGAACGTTATACCGGACCTTCGCCAAGTATTCGATGGAGTTTATGATGAATTAAGTTGAGGGCCATCATTTGAGGGCACCTTCGAGATTGATGAGACTTAACAGTAAAGTGGGCACAGAAGGAATCCATTATCATCGGGTCCTCCAAGCCATTGGGTTAAAATTCGTATCGCTATTGTCTCTCTGTCTACTACTATTAGTTCTATAAATCTTTTGATCCCTCTTAACACTAACCCACCCATCTCCCTGAGCAGGCCGGTCAAAACGTAGACAGAGGTGTTAGGAAGAACTTCGCTCTACGAATAAGTTCCTTACACCACCTTATATTCTTCATTCCAGATTCCATAAATCTACTCTACAGATCTACATTCTGGTTTTTGTCTTGGCTAGGGTTAAAAAAGCTCTCTAAGATTGTATCATCGCTCAGAAGAGAGAAAGCGAAAGTTATGGAGAGAGCAGAAATAACTGTTATAGTGCCTTTTAGCTCGATCAGCTGTGATCTTGGTCAAGCATAGCAAGATCCTTTTTTGCAAGCTTGCTTGGGAAGCAGAAGCATGCGCGTGCGAGGGAGACGGCAAGAGCGGGCGGTTTCAAGCGGCATGCAAAAAACAAAGAGAGAGCGCGAAATAATTGCTATAAGTGTGTGCGTGTTGCGATCGCAGCGTCGATCGCTGCTCATAAATAAAAAGCCGCATCGGAACCACTTTGCCAGCCAGTGTGCGTTTTGGCATGAAATGTAATTGTCGCTGTTCCGTAGTCGCTCGCTTTTCTTCCAGTGTTCCCCAGTGTATTCTCAAAGATCCGATCCGATCTGATCCGATCCGACATATATATTCACCACGCGATCGAGTGCCTTGTTTAACAAATGCATCTGAAGTGGTCGCATTAAGTCGCGACTAGTTATATAAAGGGCAAAACTTAAAAAAGGCGGAGGATTTCCATAAATTAATTACGAAGCTACTTGAACTAATTTGCCTACATTAAAGCTGACCAAAATGAGTGTCGAAAGGTAATACAAACATCAAATCAAAACAAAAACCGACAACCGTGCATTTGTGTTAAACATTGTGTCCACTCATCAGCAGTTTTTTTTGCGAATTTACTGTCTGGCCAGCTAAAAATACCCCCTTCGACTTTAACCCACAGCAACCAAAAACAAGTTTTCGGTTTTCTTAGGCAGTTTTGTGCATTTATGTTGCTAGGGTCCAGGCACAGGGTTCTTAAGTACTCCCGAAGCGAGATTAGGGCAGTTTTCGGACCCCCTTTGATAAGACGCGTTTCAGTGCCAGCTAATTGTCGATTTCCCCGAAAAATACAAGTCTTATCTATACTCTACCAACCGCTAGTCAGATCTGTCTATAAGTCTTGTGCCCAAAGTGTTCAATGATCAAACCAAGTGTTCCCGAGGGAAAGATTTCCGTTACCTCACAAATGGTATAAATAATTGTCATGGTTCTATATTAGTTTGAAAGGAAGATTAGATACGGGGGTATTTACCAGACAAAACACGTTTTGATTGAAAACAAAAGTACATTTGTTCGCGTTCAGACAAATTTATTGCATAGAATATGCATTGTTTTGAAATGAGTAGAGGAGTCATTTTTACCTTATCAAATATCACGATGATTTGGAATATTTCTAGGCTGATTACCACATCAATCAACGTACATTTTGCATGCCCTAATTGAAAGAAAATTGAATTGCCTTCTTTGGCATTTAAAGTCCTCCATCTTGTTCGCATTGAATGGAAGTATTGATTGATTTGAAGTTACTCATCAGGAGGGGCTGGTGAAATTCTGCTCACTTCCTCCCACTGCTTGGAATTCCCCTAATTGGATTGGTTAACCTCAACATTAATTGGTGATAAGCCTAGTGCTTTCGTTTTAAATTACCCTCAACCAGTTACCGAGATTCAATGGTTTTCGGGCATTTTTCGTGCTCCTATCTTATCTCGATTTTTTGGCATCTGGCGTGGCAATTAATTTCTGTTTAACCATTACGTATACGCCGGGTAGGCCGGAACTACCATGCCAACCAGTGATGAAATGAATCCCTGATTGAGTGCTGAACATGGAAGATGGCGCCATCAGCTGACTGAGTTTACCCTCTTTGCCACACCGATTGCCTCAATTAAGTGAAATCATTTGTTGACTGGCCATTCGATTGGTCGCCACATGCTCCCAAATGATTGTTTTATTCGAGTGTGCCGATATGTGCCATAAATTATCTAATTTGTGGTGTCAACAGTGGGTGAGCATTTCAGTTTATAGAATCCATACCGTCGTGCAGGCGACTTTTTCAATTCACACATCAGCATATTGATGGGTAAATAGACTAGACTTTGACTTCAGACACGCCGATTGA